CTGTGGGGTTTAACCAGGCTGGTGGGACAACCAGAGAGCCCTGGTGAGACCCCTCAGAGCCCTGTTGAGACCCCACAGATCCTTGGTTAAACCAGGGCTCTGTAAGGTCCCCCAGGGCTCTGTAGGGTCCCACCAGGGCTCTGTGGGGTCTAACCAGCTTGGTTAAACCCCACAGAGCCCTGGTGAGATACCACAGGGCTCTATATGGTCTCCCCGGGGCTTTGCTGGGTCTCACCAAGGCTCTGTGGGGTTTAACCAGGGCTGGCGAGACCCTACAGAGCCCAGGGGAGACCCCAAAGTGCCCAGTTGAGACCCCACAGAGCCCTGGTTAGACCAGGGCTCTGTGGGGTCTCACCAGCACCAGGGCTCCGAAGGGTCTCACCAGGGCTCTATGGGGTCCCACCATGGCTATGTGCGGTTTTACTAGCCTGGTGAGACCCCTCAGGCCCCTGGTGAGACGCCAAAGAGCCCTGGTGAGACCCCACAGAGCCCTGGTTAAACCAGGGCTCTGTAGGGTCTCACAAGCCTGATTATACCCCTCAGAGCCCTAGTGAGACCCCACAGAGCCCTGGTTAAACCAGGGCTCTGTGGGGTCTCACCAGGGCTCCGAGGGATCTCACCAGCCTGGTTAGACCCCACAGAGCCCTGGTGAGACCCCAAAGAGCCCTGGTGGGACCCTACAGAGCCCTGGTTAAACCAGGGTTCTGTAGGGTCTCACCAACACAAGGGCTCTGTAGGGTATTACCAGGGCTCTGTGGGGTTTAACCAGGAATAGTGAGAACCCACAGAGCCCTACTTTAACCAGGGCTCTATGGGGTCTCACCAGGGCCCTGTGGGGTTTAACCATTCTGGTGGGACAATCAGAGAGCCCTGGTGAGACCCCCTCAGAGCCCTGGTGAGACCCCACAGATCCTTGGTTAAACCAGGGCTCTGTAAGGTCTCACTAGGGCTCTGTAGGGTCTCACTAGGGCTCTGTATGGTCTCACCAGGGCTCTGTAGGGTCTCACAGCTTGGTTAAACCCCAACGAGCCCTGGTGAGATACCACAGGGCTCTATATGGTCTCCCCAGGGCTTTGCTGGGTCTCACCAAGGCTCTGTGGGGTTTAACCAGGGCTGGCGAGACCCTACAGAGCCCAGGGGAGACCCCAAAGTGCCCAGTTGAGACCCCACAGAGCCCTGGTTAGACCAGGGCTCTGTGGGGTCTCACCAGCACCAGGGCTCCGAAGGGTCTCACCAGGGCTCTATGGGGTCCCACCGCTATGTGCGGTTTCACTAGCCTGGTGAGACCCCTCAGGCCCCTGGTGAGACGCCAAAGAGCCCTGGTGAGGTGGGGTCTCACCAGCACCAGGGCTCCGTAGGGTCTCCCCAGGGCTCCCACCATGGCTTTGTCGGGTCTCGCCAGCCTGATTAGACCCCTGGTACTAGGCCTCTGTGGGGTCTCACCAGGGCTGCGAGGGGGTCTCACCGGGGCAGCAGGGCTCTGTGGGGTCTCACCAGGGCTCTGTGGGATCTAACCAGCCTTGTTAGACCCCACAGTCCCCTGGTGAGACCCCACAGAGCCCTGGCGAGACCCCACAGAGC